AATTTTACACTACAAGATATATAACTTAAAATGATATGAAAACAATATGATTAACTTGTTTACATTAAACTATAAATAGATTTCAATGGTAAAATAAGCATTTAATTTCAATGTCTCAATCTATTGTTATATAAATGCTTTGATATAATCTACATAATTTCTTGAATTACAAACATGCTACTTTTAGTTTAAATGTATAACTTAAAATTGACACGTTTATTAATCATGCTAAATATGTCAATGTGATTTTGACACAAATATTATTAAAAATAACCCAAATCCACCAATTTCGTATGATGTTTAAGTTATATTTGTGTGTTGTGTCACATATTGCCACCCTTAGTAAAATTCACCTTAGCATTTTTTCTCTCTCCATTATTATCATCTAATGTAATTGCTATACTACTATATCCATCTCCACCATTTTTCTACGCAAGACAATTGTAATATTATTTGTTTTTGTGATGCTTGGGGCTGAACTACCCCTCGTCTTGTGTAGCTCCTCATATTTCTATAAAAAAATGTCATTTTCCTTAACCTCAAATATAGACTTATCATTCATAAATCTCCTATTAGATAACATTCCATTTCTATTTGTTTCTTATACAACAATTATAGAATCTTACACAATCTTAGACTTGAATTTCCTCCTAATCTTATTGATAAAAGATATGTAATGAATTGTTTCAATTTTTTTTTTGTATTTTTCCTATACAACAATATTCTCACTAAGTTTCCATGCAAATTAGAAAATCAAGAAGCAAAAAAGGGCCTTGTCTTTTTCCTCTACATTAATATTAATTTTTCTTAGTTGATCTAAGATATTGTTAAATACATTTAACTGTTAGAAGAGATTTAATCTTCCATTTTTAGTTTATGAAACTTCCATTTCATATATAATATTGTAGTTAAACTTTTTCCCAAATAAAGCTTTTCTAATTTTTCTCACAACTTTTGTTCAAAATTTTTAAAATAATATTAGTAAGAAGCAATCGAATCATACTAACACACCCTCATTTGATATCCTCTTAATCAATATTTTTATCATTCAATTCTTCATTTTTTTCCTTTAATATTCTAACCAAGTCATGTTAAACCAAAATGTTATCCATTTTCTTTTGTTATAGAGTAAAACTACCTTTACCATTAAATATTTAAATATGAAACAAAAAACTTGTATATTTTTTTGTTATTATAAATTAAATAATTCCATAAACACCTTATAAACATCAATTTTGATGTTTTTATATCACTTTATTAAGCTCACAACCACCTATAGGAAAAAACAATAAGTGTTTAAAAAATAGCAACCAAGAGAATTTCATACAAACAAAATAAATAAAATTTAAGGAAAGACAAAAAGTTGGCATCACAAAGAACACAAAAGATCTACTTGATCCAATTAGGGCTATTCACAACAATGACAAATCGACCAAACCGACCAACCCAGCCCGATCTAACCCAATTTGGCCGATTTTTCTTCACCACTGGTCGATTTCGAGTTGTAAAGATGGGTAAACCGATAATTTGGTTCGGTTTCGATTTTCACACATAAAATCCGAAACCGAACCGAGTTATCTAACTAGGTTATCTCTATCCTATTTTTTTCTAGTTACTTATTTTTAGCATTAATTTTTTAGTTACTTCTTTCTAGTTACTTACTAACTTAGTTATCTATTCTTTCTAGTCTTTAAGATTGGCAATAATAGCAAGCATTGCAAGGCAAGCAAAATCCCTAGTCCCTACACCTTCAGAAAGATTGACTTCTTACATTTTTGAAAAAGAGACATTCTCTACTCTCTAAGGTATCATACTATCCTTTACACCAAATAGGCAAATAGGAGTCTTTTCTTTCATAGTACTAGAGATTCTCTACTCTCTAAGCATTGTAGGTCCTAGTCTTTTTCCAAATTTCATTATTCTTTAACTCTTTCTATCCTTTACACCAAATAGGCAAATATGAGCCMTTTCTTTCCTAKACTAGAGRTTCTCTACTCTCTAAGCATTGTAGGTCCTAGTCTTTTTCCAAATTTCATTATTCTTTAACTCTTTCTATCCTTTACACCAAATAGGCAAATATGAGCCMTTTCTTTCCTAGACTAGAGGTTCTCTACTCTCAAAGCATTGCAAGTCCTAGTCTTCTTCCACTACAAGAAAATGGTGACATAACTACTGAATTGTAGCTATGAACATAAAAGTCATAGCTAGAACATGAGATTTAGCTACGGACAATTTCGTGTCCGTAGCTATAAACTATACTTTAGCTACAGATAGTATGTTCGTGGTTAAAAGCTAATGGTCCATGGCTAAAAGACACCTTTAGCCACAGTTTTTAGGTATCTGTGGCTATATGTTAGAAAACTAGAAGATAACATACAGCTATGGCCATTTCGTTGGTAGTTAAAGATATCTTTGCCTATGAGTACAAATTATTTCTAACTATAGCCATGGATTTTATTTATCTGTGTTTATAACCATCAAGTTAATGACTAAAAGCTATTTATTATAATTATGGAAAATTTTATATTGCCAAAAAGATATGATATTGAAAAGGTTTTGACCAATCACAACCCATGGTGAATTTTGATAAAAATAACTGTTTTTTAAAAAACAACCCGAAACTAGAACCGTTCTAGCCACTTGTTTCTAGGTTGATGGTTCGACAACCATTCGATTCAAACAAACGGTCTGCTCTAACGAAAAAGTTAAGAAAATAATAAAAAAACTAAATAATGGACAAAAATGTTGAACAGGTCGAATGGGTCAATGGTTTGACTGCCCCGACCAATGGGTTGTTGACTGATTCAATGGTTTTTGGCCAGGGACCGGGTTTGGGGGTAAAACAAAACCGGTTGCCTAGATGGTTCCTTGGTGAACGTAGAGAGGTGTAAAACGGGTCGTACTAGGCCAGCACGGCACGACTCGCAGATCATGCCTCCCTCCCCTAGGATATTTTGGGGGGTTGGCCCGGCATGACCCATGGCCCGATCCCTCATGGGCCTGTGTCGGGCTGGTTCATGGGTCGAGCCTTGGGCCAGGTCGGGTTGTGCATTGGGCCAAGGTTATTTATTTTAAAAATTTGAAAAAAACTTAAAATTTTAATTTTATATGAATTTTGATGTATACAATTGCTTATATATACAATAATTAAATAAAATAGTATAATAAAAAATTGTTTATTTTATTAATATATTATATACTATATATTATTATATAAATATAATTTATATTATATAAATATAATATATATATGGGTCGTGGCATGGGCTGTACCAGCCCATGGGCCACGGGTGGCACGGCATGACAGTGCAGGCCGGGTAGGCTCAAAATCATGTCGGGCCGTGCCACAACAGTCCGACCATCCGAGTCAATGGTGACTCGATAACCATGATAAAAATCCACCTGATTGGTTATTACTTTTTTGATATGATGGTTGATTGGGTTGTATTATTTTTCATTATCCACAGTGACGGTGGATTTCTGAAAAGGACTTGAATATTTGCATTTATCCACCAGTCTAACATAGAATCATGTGTGGAAAGGGTTGGTGATGAGGGGTAATTTGGCATGACCTAGTAAATAAAGGTCACGTGGACGCGATCTTCCTGTAGGATGACAACTCAGCAAGGGGAGCCTAGTCAGCAGTATGCGGAGTTTGGACATTTGGCCACCTTGGCATAAAGCCACCTCGGCGCCTAATCGAGTTCAGGGCCCAGGATCCGAAGTGACACGTAATCAATTCCAGTGGCTTCCCAGTAGACTCCGAATATTACGGGACCATACTGCATAACGACAAGCCTTATTTTCTCCCCGACCAGATCGGGCAACGACAATAAGGTTCATTGATTGATACGTTACTCCCCGACTAAAACGGAAACGGATCTCATCCATTTAGGCCGCAGATTTTGGGACTGTTTTGGGAAACCCGCGGTGGCTCAGCTATATAAAGGCATCAATCCCTCAAGGTCCAGGTACGCGCGCGATCACTTGCACCCAAGCTCTCTAGCACTCAAATTCTAGCCCGCAACCACAACATAATACTGACATGAGCATCAGAGCGACCTCCCCGGGTCATCCACCCCGATTACTCTGATCACTGTTTTGTAGTTTGCTCCAACTCATCACTCGAGTACGCCCAGGCAACCCTCCAGCTAGGAGTTGTAATGCTTGAGGCGGTGATCCTGACAGAAATCGAAGTGCCCACATTGCGACTTAAGGCTTATGATGAGGAAGAAAATAATGAAAAGCTCTGTACCAACCTGGAACTTGTAAATGAGGTATGAGACCTGCCCTACATCCGAACTGCGGCATACCAGCAAAAAGTGGCTCGGTACTATAACGCCCAAGTCAAGAAGCGACAATTTCGTGTCGGCGATGTAGTCCAATGGAAAGTTATGGTACCTGAGCCCGGCGTGGGTAAGCTTGGACCGAGCTGGGAAGGTCTGTGTCGTATAAGACGGGTGTACGGGGAAGACACGTATGAGCTCAAGACTTTGGAAGGGAGGCTGGTACCTCGAGCATGGAACATCGACAACTTAAGAAGGTACTGTGTATGAGCCCACAACTCTAGGTATAAGTTACTCATGAGATCGCCAAACTGGTGAAATAGACGACGAGCTGGAGAGAGGACTATAAGTCACTCCCAGAAGCCTAAGGGCTATGATGCCAAGTTGATAACAAACCTTGGCATGATAAAAGTCCTAGTCGCCTCTTCGGCATAGGTAGATAAAAGCCTAGTCGCTTTGGCATGGGAAAAGCAAAGTGACCAAGGCACAGACAGGTCGGGTATGTACCCAGTGTCTGTTCACCCTGACATACAATGACGATTATTCCTACTAGTGCCGAGCTTGCCAACTCGGGAGTAATCTATACTTAGAAAAAAATTTACTTCTAATTGGTTTAGCTCGACAGATCAGGAGTAATCTACACTTAGAAAAATTTGCACACAAAGATTGCAAAACACTTGTATTTCATTGTTAAAGAATTTCGAGTACAAAGAAAAGAGAAAGATTACAATTGCCTAACCGAGCTCGGAGGCTCGGAACATCGAGCATTACAAAAGGGGGGTCCAAGAAAAGAGGCGTCAATATGTTTGGGGCTCTTCATCCTTAATGGAGACTTTAGTAAAAGAATTTGTCTCCATATGGTCCTCGGTGGTACCGCTCTCCTCTCCATCGTCATCAAGAAGGTCATCGTTGCTCTCCGCCTCAGAGTCCAGATCCTTGGCGGCTTCAACTGCCATTTCCTTGGTGATCTTCATTGTGGTGATGGCGTTGAGGTTGAGGTGGGGAAATTCATGCCGGGTCAACCACCTACTGAGCTTGAATCCCTTGTGGTAGCCTGCTGTCCCAGCCTCGACCAACCTTTCCCGAAGCTCCACCTTAGACTTGTACTCTTCAACTGCCTTCACCTTGGCCTCCTCCATCGCTTGAAGCAGGATTTCGGTCCGTTCCTCACATGGGTCTTGAGGTTCTTGATCTCCCTCTTCAATGCCGCTTCACGCTCTTCGAGCTCATTCTCTGTTATTAGCAAAGTTAGCAGCTCCTTCTTAGCTCGCATGTCATTCTTCAGTTGGTTGATTTCGCTACGAGCTAAGTTAAGTTCGGTGTGGGCATTTCGGGAAGACTCCTCGGCTTCGAGAGCGCGTTTTAGGTTCACCTCAGACTGGTAAGCCAAGGCGTGGATAGAGGAGTTCACCTGCCATGGGAAGAAAACAAGCATCAGTATACAAAAAATCTAAGTATAAAGCAACTTGAAAGATAAGTTCAAGAACATACCACCATACAATGTGTGGTCGCTCGGGCCCCGAGCTGAGCAACTGGCAAGTCTGCCCAACGAGTGACCTCCTCAGTAAACACCACGTCCTTGCTCTTAAGAAGGCCAAATTTCAGAGTCAAAATACTCCGGACTGGAGCATCGGTGCTTGTAGAGGTGGTGGTCGTTGGAACATGCTCCAAAGACGTAGTCTCCTCGGGTATGTGGGGTGGGGTGGCCTTGACTAGGTCCTCCTCAACCAGATCGATTACGGGAGGCTGTTCGGTAACAGGTGGGTGTTCAGGCTCAATGACCTTAGTGGTGGTAGCTTCAGTTTTGATGCGAGCCTTCTTAGAGGCTCTCTTCTTGTTCTTTCCTATTTTCATGCTCCCGAAGAGGTCATCGGCGAGGATGTCGTCCATGGCAACTGCAATAAGAAATGAGCTAAGTTAGATACAATACCAAAGTAAAACAGATGGAAAAAATACAGCAAGTAGCAACCTACCAGGAGGACTTAGGCCGACTTGTACGAGTTTCTCCTCAATCACGAAGTTTTCGAACTTCAGGCCAAGCTTCGCCCAAGATCGGACCTCCTCCCTTGTCTTCAAGTCCAGTCTAACACCGGGGTCCTGGATGGCTGCCCTCTAGTGAGTTGGAAAAGGCCACCCATCAGTGTTGCGGACCATGAAGTAGCGCGTCTTCTACGTCGGGACCTTGTTAGGGAGCTCATGCAATAGTTTGTACCCAGGACGAGGAGACAAATAGTAAGCTCGCCTGTGCTCGGCCAGAACGTAGGACGAGTTCTTCTTAATGGAAAGGATCAAAGAGAAGATGTCGAGGTCAAGGGGATGGTTGTAATCATGGAAAATAGAAATGGTCCCTAAGATATTACGAATGGAGTTCAGGTGTAGCTGGTCTATGGTGATGTTAAACAATTTAATGATTTCGATTATAAGATGATGAAGTGGAAGACACAGATTGGCTACGAGCTGCTCCTCGAAGACCATGATCTCATTGTAATCATGATCCCAAGGAAAGTTGCTTAAGGGGATGCTATACACAAAGTCACTAGAGAACCTGTACCGAGCTACCAAGGCTAGGAGCCTGTCTGCCGTCATTGTCGACGGGCCGAAGTTGTCTGGCGGCCAACCTCGGTGTGAGGTTAAAGCTGATTTGCCAGAAGCTTCTCGCTCCTGCCGAGGTGAGTCCACCTCGGGCGGACTGAGGCCCACATCCTGTCCCGAAGTGACCACCTCGGCAGGATGAGGCTCCACGGTCTGAGCCGAGGTACCCACCTTGGCCCCAACCTACTCACCGCTCCCGTCTAGAAGACTATCTAAACTAAGGCTAGAAGACATATTAAAGGGAAGGACAATGGAATCAAAAGAGCAGAGGAAGGTGGACTCACCAAAAGGACCGAAGAAAGAGAGACAATCTCGGACCCAGGAATAGCTGACACTGAATTGGAATACTTGAGCGTGACCTCAAAAATTGTGGACTTGCGAATTTGTGACGAAGAAAATGGGCCCTTTGGCCCCTATTTATAACCAACATATTCGGGAATCAATGGTCAAGATCAACACGATCCGACGGCTCCTAGGAAAATTGGTTGCACACCTCCCTAGGTTGAAATCGATTTAGCACGTATTTTGACATTCACGGAGTCTATAATCGGCTTGACGTCCACGCATACCGGGTACACGATCTGGGTCACTTCCTGGTTGAGCCGAACGGTTGAACAGGTCCGACCAACGACTCCCCCTCCACAATCACCTAGACTTCGTGTCAAATCCACCTAAGCTTGTTATGAACTCCCCACGCCAGGTTAGGACCCCTGCCACGAGGAGTGGGGGGCAATTGATGAGGGGTAATTTGACACGACCTAGTAAATAAAGGTTATGTGGACGCGATCTGCCTGTAGGATGACAACTCAACAAGGGGAGCCTAGTCAGCAGTATGCGGAGTTTGGACGTTTGGCCACCTTGGCATAATGTCACCTCGGCATAAAAGCCACCTCAGCGCCTAATTGAGTTTGGGGCCCAGGAACCGAAGTGACACGTAATCAATTCCAGTGGCTTCCTAATAGACTCCAAATATTATGGGATCATACCGCATAACAGCAAGCCTTATCTTTTCCCCGACCGGATCAGGCGGCGACAATAAGGTTCATTGATTGATACGTTACTCCCCGACTAAAATGGAAACAAATCTCGTCCATTTAGGCCACAGATTTCGAGACTGTTTCGGGAAACCCGTGATGGCTCAGTTATATAAAGGCATCAATCCCTCCATGGTCCAGGTACGCGCACAATCACTTGCACCCAAACTCTCTAGCACTCAAATTCTAGCTCGCAACCACAACATAATACTGACTTAAGCATCAGAGCGACCTCCCCAGGTCATCTACCCCGGTCAGTCTGATCACTGTTTTGCAGTTTGCTCCAACTCATCACTGGATTACACCTAGGCAGCCCTCCAGCTAGGAGCTTCCAGATCGTGCATCATCAATTGGCATTATGCTAGATGTATTCAACTTTTTCTACCTTGCGTACAAGAGTGTAAACCTTGTACCTTAACTCTATACATTTCTTATAATTAATAAAAATCATCATTTAATGTTAAAAAAATGATTGATCAAGATTCCCCATGCAGAAGCTATCAAAGTTTAGTTT